ACTCTCTCCTCCTCTCTCTCTCTCTCTCCGATGCGGACAGTCCGTCGTCACGCACCAACCCACGAAGTTGTCACCCCGCTTAGTCCTCCCGCACCTGTCAGATTCGCTCGTGCCCACAGTCCGTCGTGGCCCACGTCAATCTCGCGCGTTCGGCACCAGCCCGTCGGGTCGCCTAACTCCTACTCTACTCACCTCTTACTTCGCTCGTGTGCCGACCCTTCCTGATTGCGCAACCCCGAGCTTCCAACAACGGGTTAAGAGAGCTGACTAATCGCGCAACCGAAATTTATAGCGTGCATGCATGCGCGAAGAACACAAAATTACCAGTACTTAGAGTGGGGATTAGAGAGGGAGCGCCTGCGTTCTGCATGATCGGCCGCGGCGTGGGGGATGTAACCCTTCTCCACGCATCGATCCGAGCATGCAAGCCGCGACTTACAAAAATTTCAGCAAAAGAAAGAAAGGGAGGGCGGAAGAGACAAAGTGCAAGAAGAAAGATACAGTTACAATGACGCCCGCACAAAATTACAGTTACACACACGATTAAGGGCGCCTACTAATCAGAATACAGTTGCAGTCGCATAAAGAAGCGCGTAGACAAAAGGCGCCGCGTGGCAGAAAAAATCCTGATTACTGAATTCCTAAATTCCTATCTAATGCGAAAAAGCAAAAGGCACAAATTCGAGAAGGAAAGTCCGAAATTCTGAGAGCCATCGGGGCTCGACAAAATTCGAAAAAGACTCAAAAGAAAAATTTAAAAAGAACGAAGCAATTTTCCGCGCGATGTCCGCGCCCAAAAGGAAACGAAAGAAACGACATCATCTTTTATTAATCGCGCGCGCGGTGGCGCTCTAGACATCCAGCCATCTATCCGACCAATCAATCATCCGGCCATCCTAGGACGCACCCAGCTTCGAACCTAGTCATGCGAAAAGTAGCGACGAAAAAGACGAAAAAGCAAGGACACTGATGCAATTTTCCACCGATCCCGATCTCCTGTAATCGGTACAACCTTCCCACCTTAGGACCCCGCGTTGCAACCTCGCAGAAAATCATGCGTTACAGAAAGTGGTTCGTCACAGATGTGACGCCCAGGGGGTTCCAATATTAGCAAGCTCCTGCTTGCTAGTTGACACGTGTCGATTCCTCTAATCGATTGACAAGTGGAGCACTTCTCTCTATGCCACTTACCGTTCAATTGCGTGTGGACGTCATCCAACGTGGCAACACTGCTCTTCTACTAGTTCCTCAGATCGGGCTCTCGACGATCCAAGGACGAGATCTTTCTCATGCCGTCGCCGCGACACGCGTCCATTACCTGCTGCATTAGTAATTAATCGGGAGGGGGAAAGGAAGTCGGTACATGGCAACATGGCGAGGTGGAGGGTTTATGGGTAGGGGGGGCAGGAGACTTCCCATCCCGACTACAGTCTCTGGGAGCTCCTGATAACGAACAATGCGATGAAAATGGGGGAATCGATTGCCAGTGCGAGGGAGGGACGTGAGATAATCGGGAAAGAGGGTGGTGAGAGTTCGGAAGAGCGCCGCGCGGAAACGATCGCGGTTTTCCCATGCGGGGATGGTCCCCGTTATCACGCAATAAACCTCGATCATATTGTGGCATTGCCACGCGGCACTAAGGAGCAAGACATGGAGGCAGAAAGCCGGGACGGCGCATCGAGTAGAGGGGTGGGGACGCACTACTATAACAAGGCGAGCGGCTTAGAAGTGACGAAAAGCGTTGCGGGGGAACGGGTTGGAGGGGAATGTGACGGGGGTAGTGAGCTGGTGGAGGGTGAGGTAGTCAAGGGGACGGCGAGAGAGTGATGGGGGACGAAGGCCGATCGCCCGTATCTGTACGTCGGCGAACTGGGGGACGGGTCGGGGAGGAGGGGGATCGACTCTGTCACCTTGCTGATGGGGTCGAAGTCGTGGCCGCGAGGTTGCCATCTTCAGGTCGGGGCGGCTCCGGATCTTGGTTCGGGTCGTCGTGGATCTGCAGACTCGCCGCGCTTGCGAGCTCTAACTACTTCCCGGCCGCGATCTCTTCTCTTTTGCGGGCCGCCTCGGGATCCTCAGCCTCTGTACGCGTATGCAGTGCTTCTTCCGGCACGGCTTCCCAATCCGATCCAGCAGGTTCTTCTTCGTGCTCCTCTTCTCCTTCCTCGTCTTCTTCTTCTTCTTCGCTCTGTTCCCCTTCGCTATGCTCGCTATAGCTTCCTTCTTCGGGGGTTTCGTCTTCTCCGCCGAGCTCTTCGTCGCTATCCCCGCCTTCCTCCCGCGCGTCTTCGTCTTCGTCACTGCTGGTGCTCTCCTCTTCCTCCTCTTCTTCTCGAATGGCAGCGAACTGTTCCGCTGTGGGGTGCCCGAAGAAGGCAAGATCGCGAACCGTCCGGGGATCCAAGTATTGTTGCTGCGACGGCGGGATGCGCTCTGCGGCTCCTTCTACACAAGCCGACCACTGAAGATAAGGTGTCAATGTGCGAGAGAGCACATGGGGGACTGGATGCTCGTCGTCTTGCACGGTGATGTCGAGAGGGAGATCATCCGCCAGCTGTGCTACAGGGATCGTGAGTTCTTGCGCGATAAGCTCCGATGACCAGGCCGCACTGTTCCAAATAAAAACGCGAGAAGCTCTCCCTCCACGTTGGTGCGCCAGGCTCGGATAAGCAGCAACTCCAGATGCTCTATGTGAGGTGGGTGCGCTCCGTTCCCGGTCCACGTCAGCCGTACCTCAACTAAACACACTGCAAGCTCGACGAACTCCTCGCGCCACAGGATCCAATGGGGAGGATGAAGAAGGGGGACAACAAGAGGCTTTAGACAGTCGGAGAGGCGAGGATGGATGTCGGACTGCCAGAAGGTAGGGAAGGTGGAGGGGAGATCCAAAACGGAGATCGGAGAGATACTCATTGGGGATGGGGGAAGGGAACGAGGACAGGGAGTTCCGCCGGCGGATCGCGCTGATACGTCCGGAGGCCATCGTATTCGATTGCTTGTGACGTCGCGATGGTATCCCCGGGACGAGCCAACAGCTGAGTCCACTCGGCGACCAGTTCGTTTGCCCACGCGCACAGCGATGTCTTCACCGTCGAATGTCATACGGGAAGGAGCGTGGAGAGATCGCCGCTGAAGTTGATGATGACTGATATGCGGCTGACACCTGGCACCGCTCGCTGATGAACTGCTACTGCCTCGGCCAGTACCACCGCGTCAGGCCGGCCTTCGATTCTGAACACCGCCGCTGCATACACGCCTTCTGTGCCGAAAAAGTGCGCAAGCCGCCGAAGATCTGGACTGAGGCGGGGATGATGGACCTGCCGGATCGTCAACCGATCATGGGGCGCAAGCGATGCTTCGCTGAGGGCTCTCTCCTCCAGAAAACTCATGGCGATGGCGAAGGTGACGGGGAGGCAGAGAGGGAGCAAGAAGAAGAGGGAGATGTCGGGATGGCAGAGCCGTCGTCGTCGGCTTCCTTAGAGGGAGAGACCGATGAAGGAGGAGATGGGGTAGATGGGAGGAGGCGAAGATAGGACATGTGGCGTGTGATCGGACGGGCCGATCGACTGCCAGAGACCTCGGGGGCAAGACGCACGGTGTCTACGCCGTTAGGCCCGAGCTCGATCACCCGATATCGCCCAAAGAATTGTGGCGCTAGCTTACCCTGGCGAGCACATTTCCTTACCTGCACCACATCCCCCAATTTGTACTGGGGCCGCGGACCCACATTCCCATTTCGGGCCTCGTAGCTTCGGACATGTCGGCCTTGGGCTAGTTCGATCATTTTCTGTCGTTTTTGGGCTAGCTTGGGCAGTGACCGTTCCATTAGCTCTAGGTGTCGTTTGGCCTTGTCCCTAGCCGTGGCCCTGGTGGGCCGTCGGCTCAATGTAGACTCATCTGGGAGGCTTGGTATCGAAATGCAAGCGACGCTATTGGTCCTTAATTGGAAGGGGCTTAACCCCGTCGATTCGTGGGGTGTTCCGCGATGGACCGCCAGGATGTGATCGACGATATCGGGCCAGGGCCTTGGATCCCGTGCCGCGATATTTCGCCGCAATGCTGTCTTTATCACCCGGTTAGCGTTCTCGACCAGCCCATTGGATTGTGACATGTGGGGTGCAGTGTTCCATATGGCGACGCCATGTAGCACCAAATTCCTTAGCACTTCTCCCCTGAATTCAGCCCCGTTGTCGGTCAGGAGCTCTTCCGTATCCTGATGCATCCCGAGGAAACGGTTGACGTATCGCGCGATTTCCTTGGCTTGCCGTGTGTGACAAGGGTACGCCTCGATCCATTTCGAGAAATGGTCGACGAATATCAATAGGACTGAATATTCGCAACTATTAGGGCCAGGGGGCACCAATATGTCGGTAGTGTCCATGCTCACTCTCTGAAACGGTCGTTCAACTACCGTGGGTACTATCGATCTTGGTGGTTGAATCGGTACTTTATCAGCGGCGCAGACTTGACAGTTGGCGACGATGTATTTCACATCGTCGCGGATATTGGACCAGTACCACTCATTTTTGTCGATAGCGGACTCCGTGATTCGAACAACAAAATGAGCCGCAGTTTCCTCGTGGGCTGTCTTAACCCTGTCATACCGCATGAACGGATGCGGTACCACCATCCAAATCCCACTGCCGTTCGTTTTTCGTTTTTCTAATCTACCTTTTATCCACCGATAATCCCGAGCCCTTTCGTTGACCCTCCTCCGATCTTCCTTGGTGAAATCCTGGAGGGGGTTACCACTAGGGTGGTAATTAAGGCAATATCAGTCCATACTTCGGCCCTTCTAAACTTCCGGGTCGTTTCCAACCCTTCTGACGTGGCATCCAAAAAGCGAGCCTTGGTCGGAATCTTGTCGGACCGGCACAAGGGGCACAACCATGGTTTACTATCGTTTCTGTATTGGATGCACGAGCCATGGGCTCGTGCGACACTCTCTCGGCAATCTATCCAATCCGCATATCCTTCCCCGTTAGGACGCATGGAGACTGAATATTCGTGGGAGATAGCTTCGCAAAAATAGCAAAATTTGTCAGGCAGGGAGAGGAGAGACGAGGAGGAATGGGGAGAAAGAGGGGTGGTGGGGTTACCTTCGTCACCCATCGCCACCGTTTTGCTTCTTGCCACTTGGGAGAACTGCCACCTGTCCGTACTTAGGCTCGTTGGTTAAGTTCGACTCTTTCCACGGTGTAATTTCCTCGCCCTTTGGTACATTGACAGGCCGACGCAGACGTGTCAGTCCGTCCGCATTGCCGTGTCGCTCTGTCTTTCGATGGACGATATCGAAGTCGTACTCTTGTAGTCGCACCGCCTAACGGCCAATCATGCCCGTGTAGTTGGTGAGCTTCTTCAATGCTAGCAGAGGCTCCCCGGATCTGAATCTCAATCTGTTTCGTGCGCGCCTGTTTTGCCACGTTGGGCAGGGGTGCTGAGATGAATGAATGGTCTGATCGCCAGGAGAACACCGTGACCATCATCTGGGCATCTTCTTTTCGGATTGCCACGTGTCCTTCCGGGGTTATCCCGTCACAAACATCCCGCCATGGCACGTCCTTAGTTGCAATCTTTTTTTGTTTCTGCTTCGAAACGCCCAGGGGGTTCCAGAGAACTTTCTTCCGCCCCCAAGCGTAACAATCTCACCTCTTTAGCAGATGTCAATAAGGACTTGGGTAGATTCGTGATGTCACAATAATGTTTCTTGTCGCTGTACCGAGTGAGGAGAGGGGTGATTCCTTCGTACAGAGTTTGAGGGGGTTCCAAAGAATCGACCATCCTCGAAATCTGTACGAGGGGCTCACCCAAGATCATCGCCTTGGTCCTTTGAATTTTTCGGCTGGTCAGTTGCATCTTTCTCGCTATCGTTTTGGGCGACGGGTAGTAAACGCGCTGTCATGCTAATTTCAAGATCTCCGGATCATCTTCGTCACTGCTGTCCGCATCATTCGTTGCTGACTTTCCATCTGTAGATTCATCCCAGGAGATCATGCGGAGAGTTCCTGCCATTATCGGCGAAACATGTGGGACCGTGTTAATGGTAGTGCGAAGGGTCAATCACATAGGTACAACGTAGGGTTTTCCTCCTGTATTTCGGAGGACGATCGATTGTCGTTCGAAGTCCAGGTTTGCTCGTAACGCCACAAGAGCGGGAAGTCCGAAAAGAACGTCGTACGTATTAACATCTAGTACTACGACATCCCCAAGCGCGTGCACTTTTTCCAATCGGAAAGCGACATTGGTCATCCTTCCCACGGTTTTAATCCTTTCTTCGTCAGCCGAAACGAGCTGATCTTTCTCAGAAAGCATGATCAGGTCGTTTTTCCTACCTGCCCTTTCGACCACTCTCAATGAAATAGCCAACACAGTTGCTCCCAAATCTATAATTGCGTTGTAAGGAATTCCCCAAATTTCTATATCGCACTCTGTGGATTTCCACGAAATTGGTTTAATCCGTAGGAAATGGTTGTCTTTCTGGATTAAACCTACCCGTATCGGATCCGAAGTGCCTGTTGGGTTTTCTTCGGGTGTGGGGCTTTTGGTTTTTGCGTTTGGGGTTCGGGCGAGGGCGAATCGCTTTCGGTTTGCTTTGCAATGCTGTAGCATTCGCTCATTGGCTTGCTCGGAGATCGAGAGTAGATGACCGATCGGAAGTGGAATCCAATGGTCCAAGGCTCGAATGATGTTTAAAACATCGATCTCTCCTGTGACGAAGGTGGGTCCTCCCGACTCCATTTCTCCTAGAGACGGTCGCCACTCCGCCACCTCCTTTGGTTCTGGCGCTGATCTGATTGTTCCGATCATTCCAAGCCCAGGATATCCCAGCGATACGTACTGATCTAGCGGAATTAGCTCGGAGGCCTCTTCCATGGTGGTCAGGGCACTTCCCCCACCCTCTCCTTCTTCCATCAAAGCCCCGACTCGTCGAGGTCCGTTAGCGATGGGAGCCGCAGCCATAGGCGCGACCCCGATTCGCTGTTGTGGGGGTCAGTGGGGGCAATCACGGGCTAGATGTCCTGGCTGATGACAGGCATAACTGACATTCAGATTGTTCGCAGCTCCCCTAAGAGCAGGGGCCGGGGCTAATCCTTGCTGCATCGAAGGGGCGCGCACCGCAATGGGCCGCATATTCCTCATCATGGCCTCCAGCCGAGCATTGTGCTCTCGCTGCTATTTTTTGCTTTCCTGGATTAAACTAATCGACGTTTTGGTTAGTTCGAAAACGGCCGCTAATTCGTTCGATCGTACGGGAGCCTCAATCGGCGGTGGGGGTAATGCCCTGACGGGCGGGGGTATCATAGGACCAGAGATGCTCACAGTCTCGCTTAGGATTACTCGTTTGGGGCCTATCTGTTCCATATAGGTGACAAGTCCTGATACAAATCCTATGTTTTCAAACTTGTTCTGCAAGGCAGCCAGCACCGCTCTCGCTCGTGCGAGCTCGGTCGAATCTCCGTCTCTAGGGTAGTCTTCTTCTTCCAGGAAGTTCACTGCGAACTTCCGTTCCATTTTTTCCGCAGCAGCCATAATTTGTTGTAGCGTATGAGTGATGGGGGAAAATTGCTTTCGCAACTTAGCCCTTATTGTTCGGCTGCGGAGTCCGTCAATGAATAGATCTCTCCCTACTTGCTCACCTCGTTCAGTTTTCACGAACATTCTGTAGAACCGGTTTCGATATTCTGCGACGGATTCGAGAGGTTTTTGCACTCGGTCCTTAATCATGTACAATGCTTGCTCGGGGTGAACATAATCAAATCGGTTCATGAAATCCCGTTCGAAGGTCGGGAGATCCACCCATACGTAGGTACTATACCAATGACGAGCGTCTCCTCCCATTCAAGTCGGAATGTTGATTTGTGCTTCGTGATCATCGTACTGCTATGCTCTAAGCGTGGCAGCCATGGTCCTGCGAGATGGTGCGCTGGATCAAATAGATAGAGATCTTGTGGCGTCATGGGAGCTCGTGCACGTGGGGCGGGTTGATTCGGTGAATTAGCATTTTGTCGCGGAATCGGGTTTTGCACATTGGCAGCCATATTGGCTGCTCGTCGGTTAGCCGATCTGCTTCGAGTGACGATGGGGTCGCATCTTTGCGCGTTCCGAGGGCGAGGTCGCCCACGGTAAGCCAGGTCGCCTAATTAACGTGCTATCAATCCTAAGACCCTAGCCACGTGTCGGGCTCCGATACCAACCTCACGCCCAGCACGACTTCCTGATCGGAGTGAGATGCGGGCCTGGAAGTGCGAAAAGGGGTGTGCCAAGGATTTTTGGGAAAGTGGGGGAATATTATTAAGGGTATGAATGCAATTGGGCGAATGAGGGGCGTG